TTACTTCCATTTTACACCTGAGGAAACTAATATTTAAGGAAAAGAGGCTCAGAATTTCAACCAGTGGCAGAATGAAAAAAACAAGCCTAAACCTTGCCACCAGGTTAGTGACAGCTAGTCTAATGATCCCAGAAGTGTAACCTCCAAAAGAAATTCTGTCATTAGAAAAAGTTTGCGATAGATATTGTCATGTTCCATTTTAGTATGAACCTTGCATTGATTATGTAGGATCATTTGTGTTTATTTTGATCGCTTGCTAGTGTATTGGCCTATTTGTAGTTTTAATAACTTCTGATCTTGAATCTATTATTGAAATTCAGTTTCAGTAATGCTTTTGTAGTCATTCTAACTCATTCTGAATACACAAGAGAAGCCAAACCAGATGTGGAAGCACAGAACTCAGGTCTGTGTATATCAGACAAAGTTGTATCTTCACCAGTTTTTTATACACACAGAGCAGGTAACAAATGTGCATAAAACACACAACTATATATTTCGTTCTCTTGAACAAATGTATGTGAATCATAGCATAAACTCAACTGAGTATATACATCAACAACCTTTTTTACTAAAAAGATCAAATTTAATGCTAAGTAGTTCTAATTATATCTAAATCTTTCATTTGATCATTTAAGCAACTGGAAAAGATCCAACTAAAATAATTTTGAACGGTAGAAATTACATCAACACCCTTTAAAATTTTAGAGTCCGTGAAATGCAAAGTTAATATATCTGTTCTTTCACCGTTTATGGGATGCCCCAAAATGTATGGCAGGGATTGTTCAAATAAAATAAAATGAATGCCTCAAAAAACAAAGACATAGTTTCTGACCTCAAGGAGTTAACAGTCTAAGTGGAGGGTGGCAGACAATCCAAAAAAATGGATAAGAGCCACCAAAATCTCCTTCTGTGACTCAGTCACTCACGTGTGGAGACTTCTGTTTCAGAAGCTTATAGGAAATTACACATAAAGAGATTAAAACTTAAACATTTGCTCATTTCTATTCCCTATTTTCTCATCTCAATTTCTCTGCCTCCCATCTGACCTTTACTGTTTGTTTCCCTTGGAATCCTCCCCACACCCCCAAGCTCAGCTCTAGAATTTCCTATCTGGGGAATCTGATATTATCATTCTTTCTTTTCCTACCTGAGGGGTGGAATTTAAGGTTTGTATTTTAAACTCATTATGAGAGTCAAGATCAGCTTTAAGGAACATTTCTTTTAGCCTTCAAATGTCAGCTTATACACCATGATATATGGTTTATTTTTTCTTGCTGGGGTACATGTTGATCTCTACATTTAAAATCATCCCTAAATGATCTCTAAAATGCTAACTTAGTGTCATTTGAAAAATAGAAATCAGAAATGTCTTGAAGGGATATGGAGATAAGAATCTGATTTCCCATCCATATTATCCCTGGTATGGTATGTAGGAAAATAGCTTACAGCAGCGGTCCCCAACCTTTTTGGCATCAGGGACCGGTTTCAAAGAAGAAAATTTTTCCACAGATAGGGATGGAGGGGTGGGCGGAGCTCTGTGGGGTTGGGGACCGCAGGCTTACAGTACCAGCTGTTTAATCTTTGAAATAATTTACTGTTACAAGGCACATTTAATTTATGTCTCCAAAGTATTAGTCAATGACTGGGGCTTTATTTTTACCTTACTATTAAGGAAATCAGACCCCAAACAGGATCTCCAATGCATGGGACATTTTTTGGTAGATGTTCAGACTGAGAAAAGAAAAAGCTGGCTTGACTTAGAGTGTCTTCCATACCTGTTTTTCTTTCCCATGAAAACCTGTAGTTTGAAGGAACATAAAGGAAGGAAATATTCTGCTTTCATTAAAAAATGGCCTGTGCTTCCTGCTTATGGGCAAAATAAACCCTTTATAAAGCAGCAAAAGCAGTGTTCATTCACAGATGTCACAGAAAGAGGTTTCCAGGCTGGGAAGAATTTTTTTCAAGGCATTTAAAAACTATCTATACTAATAAAAGAAAAATATGAGTTTTTCAGGTCAGAAGACTTCATCATACCTGACGATGGATATGATTTTAATTAAAACCTGGGCACAAAATTGGGTTTACTGTGAATTACTGTGATGCCTGATCACTCTCCTGAGACACCCACAATCATTGGTACTGATCACTAACTCTTGACACCCGGAGGCCACTCTGTGGATTTAGCAGTTAGAAAGGTGATTTCTGAGGCCTGGCAGCTGTTGGTGTTAAAGGTATTGTGTGGAAACAAAAGCCATTCTGTTCTGTTCCCTGGTCGCCTTTGTATCATTGATACAGGAGCTGTTTCATAAATGAGGTATAATTCTTTGCCAGGGAGTTTCATTACTGCCCATGTTTCAATGTTCGCTTACACTTGCAACAGCAGAGGGGAATGTTTGAGTGTACCTCCTTACGGAAAGAATCTTGACTTCTGACCTCTGTTGAGATGCTTGCATTTACAATCTGTTGACTAGAGCTGCGGTTAGATGCCATCATAACAACATATATGCTTCCTATCTTCCTTACTCTATACCACCAAGTCCAAGGCTGGCTAAAATGAATTTGCTGTCAGACTGCTTGTCTTGGAAATTAGAGCACAGTGAACAGTGGGCCCCCATGTACCAGTATGAACTAGATTTCTCACACAATTCCTTATTGACCTGTCCTAGGATATTCTCTCAGAGCATATCAGAACTGACATTTATTTGAAGTACATGCACTTTTTCACCCAAATGGTATATTCATTATTTTCATATGAAAAGTTTATCAGTCTAGGAAATTTTCGATTATGTATAAAAAAACCAAATTGGCCTAAACAATCAAGGAAATGTGATGGGCTGCATCCTTCTTCCCAGCTTTCATTCCTCCCTGGGCTGTACCCTTTGCTGTGTGACTTTGAGGGTCCTCTCACTAGAGGTGAGTATATTTCCTCACCTCATGAACGTTGGGCTCAGCCGCATGCCTTGCTTTGGTTAGGCTTAAGAAGTATTGATTATTTTCACTTACCCTTTTTGCATTTCTACCATTGCTATGAAAAGAACATGCCCCAGCTATCTCTCATCAAAAAGAGAAATGTGAGGCAGATCTGGAATCTGTTGGCTGGAGCCAGACCCAGCTGAGTCCAGCCTAGATCACCCTACTAGCTGACACAGAGTTGCATGAGCAAGAATAAGTGACAGTTGTCTTAAGCTCATGCATTTTGAAGTGGTTTATGACACGGCACTGTTGTGGCAATGTCTGACTAATAGGTATTGCTCATGCAACTGAAGAGTCCAAGGGTAGTATGGGTTTCAGTTAGGATGTGAAAGGAATTCCTGATCTATTTCTCTGTGATTCTCTTCGGACTTCAACCAGGATGGTTTCCTTCTTGGTGGCATGCTGACTGTAGCTGTTTCAGGCTTCACTTTTATATCCCATACCATCCAGAAAGCAAGGGGCTTCTCTTCTTCAACCATCATACATAAGTCCTGGGCCTCACTCTGATTAGGCCAACTTAGGTCACATGTCTATCCTGGGCCAATCATTGAGCAAGGAGGGTAGGATTATGTGACTTAGTTTATTTCAATCAGAGCCCCCTATTGAAGATGGAAGTGGACCCAATCTCTTTCAAAATCCATATGGTGCTGAATTAAAGGTGGGAGTAGGGGGTGGAAGAGAGAGTAGGGGGTGTTGAGAGGCACCAGCAATGTTAATTATGGAGAGAGTCTAAAATCTGCCACCTTTGTTTTTGATTTCTATTAATTTATTATTTGGCTTAAGACATTTTTGTAGATGTCTTCATCCAGAAAATCTTCGTGTTGCTGGATTATCTAGAGCTAGAGAGAAGGGGTTTATTCTCTATACCCTAAGTGTTACCTTTGTAAATGGCAAAGCGTATGGCCACACCCATGCCACCTAAGGCACTGGAAGGTGGGTGGGTACCCAAATAGGACTTTACCATTAGCCTACCAGACTCCCAACTCCTGGTAACTCAGTATTTTAAGAAAATTAGAAGTCGATTTCACCTACTAGAATGTGGAAACTTCTGACCCAGAGGATGAGTTATTGCTGATGTAACAAATTTAACAGAGTGGGTTGGGGGTGTTAAGAATGTCATTCCACTGACTTCTGGCCTCCATTGTTTCTGATGAGAAGTCAGCTGTAATTTCTGTTACTGTCCAGACACATAGTAAGCACCAAATAAAAATGTGTGTTGAATTAATGAATTAAAAATAGAACCAAGATCTTTGGGCACATAGTCCAGCGTTCTTTCAAAGTTGTAAAACCTTCCTTTGTACATTTAATGCTCACACTGCAGCCTCTGCAGGGAAATGAATCAAAGGAACAACTAATCCAAGTAATTTTTGCAAATATGGACATTAAAGTGATCGCCAGTTACTTCCTTTGTTTCTAAGAGTCCTCCCTGACCCTGAAGTATCTGCAAGATTGAACAGCCTTATCATTCAACTTGTTTTTGTTATTTAGCAAATGTTTGTCATTCTGCAAATATTATTGAACACCTGCTGCTCAATAATAGTGTGTTAAGTAGTGTGAGGGATATAGAATTGAATGTGAGATAAAACTTGTTTTCAAGTACCCAATTAATATAATTTTTCACTCAAGATTTCAGGAAAACCTTGGACAGAAGAAAAGACTGAAGACCTTTTACGGAACTACAGATTCTTGGGGAGTAGCTTAGCTGTCTTCTTGTAGGATTATTTACCTTGTCATTTCTAATCATTAAGGGTTCTATATGAAACATCTGTCAGCAGTAAGACAAAATCATCCTAACTAAGCATTTTGATGTGACCCAGCCAAGGGGTTAGACATATTCTCATATTCCTACATTAGTTTCTTAAAAATACCTTCCCATGCATTTCACCATGGCTGTGCATGGGCATTATTAGGTTTGTTTTGCTAGTAATATCCTGGTAAATTAATTCCACGTAACCACAAATTTGGGAGTACAGACTCAGCTATATTTTCTTTGATTCCCTCTTTCTCTCTGTATTTTTTTTTTTCAGATAGGTTATGCCTTAAACCATACAAACAGAAAACTAACGTTGGAACCTAAAATAACTGTCAGTGCCAAGATTGTTGTGGTTGGTGCATCCAGTGTTGGAATTTCCTTCCTAGAGACATTGGTATTTTGGTGAGTTGTTTTACTGTATTTATTTTTAAATAGTAAAAGTTCTCTTCCTACACCTGAAGAGAACCCCTTGAGAAAACAGACCTGAGTCCATTTGCTACCACACACACCTTGCCTGTGTGGATTAATGAATCAGTAGAATATTCTACAGGGGTTAGCAAACTGTAGCCCCCAGTTCCACCTACTTTTGCAAATAAGGCTTTATTGGAATGCAGCCACATTCATTTATTTATGTGTTTTCTGTGGCCTTTTTTATGGTACAATGGCAGATTTGATGGCAGATTACTCTGTTGAGTAGCTGCAAAGAGACCATATGGCTTTAAATACCTAAAATATGTACTATCTGGCCCTTTCAAGAAAAAGTCTGCTGAACCCTCTTCTAAATGAGTGTTTCTCTTACTGGCCAGATCCTAAGAATCAGCTGGTGCATTTGTTAAAGATGTAGATTCCCACACCCTGAACCAACATACAGAACCAGGAACTCCTGGAGAAGGGTCTAGGAATCTGTATGTTAATAGGTCCTCCATGTAATCAGGCAGGCCGGGACCTTTCTTCCAACCCCCACATGTTGGGTGCCTGGGAACAGGATAAAACCCATCAGGGAAGACTGAGGTCTACACATCTCTTCAGATGCTGTTTTCTCATCATGCTCAAAGCACTAAACCAGGCTTCCTTTCAGAGCCTATTTTCCCGATAGGCGATTCTCAAGGATTCTCAGCTTCCCCAGTCTACATTTCCATCTGCTCATTGAATTTCTGCACCTCTTTGACAGGAAGAGCCCTGAGTTATTGTCTGAGAACTTGAGATCATGGCTTGGCATCACCAACACCTGACATGGAATCCAACCCTAGGTGCATTGCCTAACTTCTCTCAGACCTGTTGTCTTCATTTATTTTTTTAAAAGTCTCATAGATGTTTTAAAAACCCTTACTTTGGGGAACCAAAGAGCCCTGAATTAAAAGAGTCCAGTTTTTTCCACATATTTTGCTCAGGATCACATGAGAAACTTTAGCTACCTTTCGAAACTACAGGTGCTAAGACGTATGGGAAGATGCAGCCCACCATGACTCCTCTAGAAGCCAGCAAAGTTATCAGCTCAAAGAAGATAGGTGGGGCCTTGTGAGGGGTTGGGTAAGAAAAGGGATAGAGGAAATGACCCTTGAGAGGTGTTTGTGCCTGGTTAACAGGGAGATGAGCTAACCTCAAATGGTTATTTTGCTCACTTGACATCACATTAACCAGATAAAGAAAAGAACTGATTTTTTCACCTTGTAGCCAATTTGTTCAATTCTCCAGAACATACCCTTAGTTAACCAGAAATAAATTACATGTCATTATTGAACTTAGCAACAGAATTCACATGCTTTAAATAATGTGGTCAGTTTGCAGCAATATTTCATTGCAAGAATGAAATGATGAGAAGCACCTAGGAATGTTCATTTTCCTGAGGGTGCCACACTGTAGTTGAGTGCTTTACTCGTTCTAATGGGTCTCTTCGTCTAAAAATTCTGAACAGCAAGTCCTATGCAAGCATTTTTGAATGATGAATTATCAGGGTGGAGTTGTGAAATTATAGTCATTAAAAAGTTAACGTAAACAGGTCTTAAATCTTAATTCAGCTCTGTATTTAGTCATAATGTTTTGTTTAAATGATTACATTGAGATATATACATGTAATTTTCTTTTTGTGGAATCAACTTAGATTTAATAAAGACAAGTATAAATTTTAATATAAGTATTGGGTTGATTAAATTTCCCAATCAAACAGACCTTTTTAAAGCATTCTAAAGCACTCATAATTCTCTATCATCGTTATACAGATTATGTACACTAAAAATAGACTGATATCAGTTTACAGATCTCTAATCCTTAAGAGGGGAAATAGTTTTCTCATTATTTTCTCTAATTATTTTAAATTAGCAATCACCATAGTAACCTCCTGCATATTTTACTTTCCCGGTTTAGCTGCCATTCGAACTTAATTTTATAAATGATTTGAGCCAGAATGAAATTGAAGAAATAAAGTTTTCACCAAACATGCTCACCAATAAGGATTAAATCCACATTTTGGAAGCAAGATTTAGAAAAATCACCTTCCCTTGTACTCTCGAGTTCAGTCACCAGACTAGGCAGAGGCACCAGAGTTTCTGGAAAATTCATCTGAGGCCCAGTACAGTGACCTCTTTTTCTAGAAAATCTGGTAATCCCGTCATCCGGTGATGCAACAGACACAACTGTTTGTTCTTACATTATTTCTATGCAAAAAATGATAAAGTACATTTGGTCTCCTCTTTAAAGGACACCAAAAGCAGTCCTTGCATAATGTCTGTGTCCTTGCCATATCCCTCTTTCCCCAAGTGCTGAGGTGCTACTGGGAAAGCCTAAGTGCTTTGCCAGAAGTCACCCCCTACTCCACTAAGACACGTAAGCTCCATGTGAGGAGGGAATATTGAGGGCGGTGTTTTGATTTTTTTTTTTTTAAGTACAACAATCTATCTGGTCCTCAGCTGCTACCCATTTACAGTCACATCTGCACAGACACACCTTGTTGCTTTTGGTTGTCAGCACCTGAATCTTGTCCTTCTTAGGGGGAGCCTCCTGGGCCTTCCAGTGCTGGGGAGATGTGTGGCAGGCTTTTCCCTAGGGACACACCCCAGTGTTCCAGTCCTTCACTTCCCTTGTCTTCTCCCCCTGTCCTGGCCCTGGCCCTGCATATCCTCTAGTGTGGGCTGGGGGGCGGGGAGGAGGGAGGTGGAGGAGCCGACCCTGCTCACAGAGCCTTCTGCAATCGTGTCAGCCCCGTGGAGGTACAGAGGTCTGTGTGCAGCATCATTCAGAGTTGAGTAAGGCTCTGCTAATTGTTTCCTCCCCCCAACTCCCTCCCCGTCTTGTGCATCTGGCTTCTGAGGGGAGCCAAGGAAGAAGTATTCTGTCCTCTTTTCATCCCCTGCCTTGCCGGGTGTGGGTGTGGGCCTCCGTGGAGAGGATAGGGAGCTGGGCGGGGGCAGGACAGCAGGGCCAGAGCTAGGGCCTGGGAGCAGTTCTCCCGGGGAGGGGGCTTAGAGGAAGGAAATGCCAGCTCGCCCTACAGGGTAGAGGGCAATGAGTTGGAGGAGGAGGGAAAGTGCAGATCTCAAGACATTTCAGTGTAAATTACGGGCATTCTTCATAATGCTCGAGACAGTCAAGTGATGGACCAGAATTATTTTTAGATTACGGTTCTTGCGATTGGTGGATTGTATTCATTTGGCTGCCCTTGCTCTTTGGGACTGAAGGTTCCTGGCTTGGGCAGTATAGGTGTTACATATGCATTATCCTTCTCAGTCCTTCTAATGCTAAGACTTCCTTAAAACCCTAACCACTGGAAAAAACAGAAAGGACTCGGCTTTGGCTGTAAGTCCACCTCTGCTGCCAACCATGCTGTGACCCTGAGGGTAGTCCTGGGAGGGTCACAGCAGGGGATCCCCAGGTCCTGCCAGCCTGAAGGTGCCATCACCCTGGGAAGTCCACGAATCCCATCAGGGAGAGGCCTAAAGTGAACTCCCTATTCTTGGATCAACACCCAAGTCCTGAGGTGAGCTTATGCCGTGTGTTAAGGAGACACTATTTCCCGAAGGAGAGCTTTTCAATGAAGTCTAAAAGCTCCTTGCACAAAGCAAGAGGCCTCTTTCTGCAAAGCTTAGAAAGTCGAGTTTTCACCAGGCACGTTGTGCACCAAGGCTAGCTCTGCTGAACTCCTCAAATGCAATACCTTGAATATTTCAAGTTTTCTACAGAGATATTCCAAAATCATTTTTTAAAAGAAACATGAAAACGCTATACAAAAAAAGGCCAGGAACCAGGTCTATGAAATTCTCTTCTCTTTTTACATCCGTTTTGCTCCCAGCGTGGTCTGGACCAGTGGCATTGGCATCTGCTGTGAGCGTGTTAGAAATGCAGAACCTCGGGCCCTGCCCCAGGCAGTGTCCCAGACACAGGATTGTCCCCCTCATTAGGCAGAACAGCTTCTCCACTTTCTCATGGGCATGAGCTCACTGAGCTGGGGCAGTTACTATTTATTCTGCTCCAGCCTGTGCGTCTATGCTTCTGTGTTTTATGGCATTTACCCCTAATTATCAGACAGTTCCTTTTAATCCATTATTTTAAAATCCTTCCTAATTTAATTCTCGTGTAAAGGATCTCTTGAAGAGCCTGTGATGGCACTAGAAAAATGCACGCAGGAATCAGGGGATGACAGTGATTGAAAGCTGCCCAGGTGGCGCCCCCGTGACCCTGTGTGCGACTAGAGAGATGCACTTGGATTCACAGAAGGCGCCGGTGGGCCCTGGAAAGCCCAGGCTCCCCTTGTCATCTCCACCCACTGCCGAGAACAGTTTTCTCGAAAACCAACCAAATCATCTCACCAAAAGATGAAATCACAGATTTTCCACCTAGACATCAATCCCTCCTCTGGTTGAGTACATTGAGGTGACTAAGAATAGCTTGGAACTAGCAGGGCATGTTTTTAAAGCTACAATTGCGGCCGAATGACCGCAAGTCCTGTTATCGGGCCGCGCAGTTCCGCACAATATCCGGCACAGCTGTGGGCTCTGGCAGCAGCCAGCCTAGTGCTTGCAGCTTAATTAGGCTTTTTATCTTTACATTTGTCTGAGGACATCTGAAACCTTCAGTGTGGCCTGTCACTAATTAGGTGACTAATTAAATAGTCAGTGCTTCCTTGCTTATCTCAGAGCTAAACCGCAATGAGCAGGTTTGTGATCGTGACTGTCCCATCCTCTCAGTCTCTGCCACGTGAATCGATGGACATCCCCCCGCCCCATTGCCCTGTGCATTGCCCTGTGAAAAAGCAGCGTGGTGGGGGGGCCTGGATCTTGCAGGGCTGCCCTCTGATGGGCCAAGGCATCGGGCGGCAAAGTGGGGCAGAGCCCCAGGGCCGTACTGCTGTGCTGGCATCCCAGCGGGATCATCTGGTGGCTGGAGCAGAGGGGCAGGGGACAATACAT